GTGAGTGGGTCGTCACCATCATCCTCATTATCATTATTTTCAGGGTGCTGTCCTTCGTCGTCAATAAAATCTTACAAAATCCAAGTGAATGATATTTTGGTGAGGGGGAGGGGGAGAGCCCAGCTCTGCAGGGGTTTCATTAGGCGGGTGGTGAAATCCTGGAGGGGGCAAGGGCAGATTGTGAGGAATACTCTTTTCTGGGGCTGGGCATCAAATCCCAGCGGGGGCAGATTAGGGTAAAGGGATAGATAGAGGAAGGGAGAGAATGGAGGAAGGAAGGGAGAGGGGGGATTTTTCTGAATCATCTCATCATCAAAATCCATGTCATCATCATCTATGTTATATCATGCTTTCGGGTGTGCTGTAATTCTTGGCTTTATTTGGCCTCCTTCCTTAATCAGGATATATCAATAAAGTTGTTTTGTCTTTTCCCTGGTTTGGCGATGCCAGAACGACGCTGGCCGGAGCTGGGGCGTTGCCCTGTAACCTGCAATTGGCAGGAGTGTGAGGCCTTGTAGAGAGATCTGGGGATTTGTTGAGGGAGGAAGGCAATCCAGTGGCGAACCGGGGGGGCTGCCTTGACAACCTATGGGGCCAGGGATAGTCTAGGTGGCGAGAACAGGTCAGCTATGGTAGACATTGGTTAGGAGGGTATTGTCTCTGAGATGTAATGTCCTGGTGCAGGGAGGGCTGGGAGGGTTCTAGGATTAGGAGGCCAGACGTGATGTTATAGCATAGTCTTCTACATTTTSTATAYACTAATCATCACATTCATCATCATCGTTATATCAAGCTTTTTGGGTTCTGAAAATTGGGCAGCATTTAGCCTTCTTCCTCATTTGGGATATAGGACTTCAAAGATGGTTGAACCTGGACTGATATCTACTGAGTTGCTCTGTTCTGTGCCCTTGGTTTGCSGATGCCAGAACGACGCTGGCCGGAGCTGGGGCGTTGCCCTGTAACCTGTAAATGGCAGGAGTGTGAGGCCTTGTAGAGAGATCTGGGGTTTGCTGAGGGTGGAAGGCATTCCAGTGGTGAACTAGGGGGGGCTGCATGGAGGCGAGAAGAGATCAGCTATGGTTGACGTTGGTTAGGTTGTTTTTGTCTCTGAGGTACAATGTCCTGGCTCAGGAAGGGCTAGGAGTTGTTCTAGGATTAGGAGGCCAGAATAGCTGATATAGCATAATCTTCTGTATTTTTTCRTTAAATTTTACTCATTAGCATCATTATCTGAGATATCATCAGTATCATCATGGTCATCTTCATAACCATTTGAGGGACGCTGAGCCCGCTTCTCAGCAGTTTCGGTTCGATTACTCCGGGCAGACTGTGAGGACCCCGGCCTCAATCTTATTATTGGTAATATCAGCCTTGGGCACCGGGCCCGGTTA